TCTCTCACTGCCCTTCTCAGCAGCACAGGGGGAGAAAACAAGATGAAGCAGCTCACGGGTCGACGTAAGGACCAGGAGATTGCTTACCAGTCACTGTCATGGGCAAAACAGACCCAACCTGGAGAAAGTTAATTTAACTTATTGACAATTTAAATAGATTCAGATAGTGATGAACTAAAATATACCTCCCCACACGTCGTGGGGTTTTGTTTTTTTTTTCAGGCTCAACCTCACTCCTTCATTCCCAGCTCCTCTACCTCCTCCCCTTACCACGAGTGGTGCAGGGGGATAGGGGATGGGGGTTGCAGTCATAACAATCATCTCTGATTCTCCTTTCTCCTCACACTTTTTCCCGGCTCCAGTGTGGGTCCTTCCCACGGGCTACCATCCTTTAGGAAAAAAAACCTGCTCCACTATGGGTGTTCTTTCAGGAAATATCCACGTGTTCCTTCATGGAGTTCTCCATGGTATGCAGTGCAGGTATCTGCTCCGCCATGGTCTCTTCCAGGGGCTGCAGGGGAATCTCTGCTCCGGTGCCAGGAACACCTCCTCCCCCTCCTTCTCCTCTGACCTCTCTGACCCATCTTGGCTGTGGGGCTCAGCTGTGCCCTGCAGTGAGTCCGTTGGAGCTGGCTGGAACCGGCACGGGGCAGCCCTGTCCTCTCCTCACGGAGGCCGCCATGCAGCGCGCCGCTGCCAAGGCCTGGGCACGAACGCCTGGTGCAGTGTGTCACACGGGCTGGGAGGAGAGGCAGCAGATGCAGAAGAGAGGACGAACCCCACAGCTGAAAAAAACACGGCAGGACTGTGCGATGCCTGTATCACACCTGTGGGTGAGAGCGTACAGGTTACCGGTGAGAGACTTAATACAACAAAGAAACCCCTCATAGAATTAAACAGGACAACTTTTATTCAAACATTTGCCACTGCTGACATTCAGTGCTTTTGTGAAATACTGAGACTATGATTTTGAGATGGAAGACTGATGAACTCAAAGAAATGCAGTGTCCCACTTGCATGTTGAGCAACTGCTTGGTCTCCCGGTTCGTATCTGCTCCAGTCTTTCTTTTCACACCTTCTCTGCTGGCCACTGGTGCGGGGTCATTCCCCCGGGGCCTGGCAGCTGAAAGGCAGTTAATAGGCTTCAGCGCTGCTCTCGTGGGAAGAGGGAAGCAAAAAGATAAAGACATTTTTCCATCTTGTTCGGTAGTCAGTTATAGTCTTATTACGAGCTCTCATAATGTCTTATTGTTGCCTCCTAGCATTCGACAGATCTAAACCGTCTCACCGTTGCTTCCTAAATCTGCTTACACTTTCTGAATCTGACTGGGTGGTACTGTGCTTTAACACCTTGCTTCCTGTATCTCCTTCTGCCTTTCTAATCCTCTGATCTTCTTTCGGGTAAATTCTCGTGCCGCTTCTCTGGACCTCTCTAGAAAGAGAATAAAGCTCCGTTTGGACCCCTCCTTTCCTTTCTTGCTTATTCTCTATTGTCTCCATCCATCTAATATAAAGGTCATTAACTGTGTCTTTCTTATAAATCAAGAAATGTGTCATGCCGCCATCTTGAAGATAACATTCAAAATTCTATTATTTCTCTCTGTTTTGCCTCCTTTTACTTTTATGTGCAAGCTGCCAGTCCTGCACATCAAGCCCCAGGCATTCAAACATATTTTGTACCTCAGCAGTTCCTCCAGTCCAGAGAACCAGAGTTCTTTTGTTCTCTTCAGAAAATCGAAACTCTCATCATTTTCTGTCTTGTCTGTAATCAGCTCCTCATGATCTTCCTGCAACTTAACTCATTCGGCTGCAATTGGTTAGAAGCCTGTTGCTTTGGAGCACTCTTCTTAATCTCTGTTGAATCTGCTATTCGTAACACATGAAGTAATCTTTTTCCTTTATTGCTTTTTAATCCCACTGATGTCTCCTCTTTCCAACTTATTTACTGTAGAGATTATTCTGTGTGTTTAAACTACTTCTCATATATGACAAGTGCAGCATTTGTTATTTAGGTAACAGCCATCATATATGGAATTCCCTCCCCAAAGTAGTTCACGTATTTGCTCCTAAAAGCAGTTGTCTGTGTCCTTCCCAGTCCTGGGAATCCAGTGAGAATTGGACAGTTTGCACTATTTAGGCAGTGGCCAGAGGAGAGTTCCGATATTTATCTCATTTTATTTTCCTATTTTAAGATGGCAAGAACAAAAATAAATCAGCTCTACACATAGCTGGGCTTTGTAGCCATTCTGCCTACAATGGTCCTGTTCTTTGCTCCTTGTCCTTTCTGTTTATTTATGTTTCTTTAGTTCTTGTTGTACTATAAGGTTCCAACACATTAGGAAAACTGTTTACTTCTTGCACATTATGTTTGATTGTAGTGTTTGGACCAGTGGGACAGATTTGTGACTGTAACATCTTATTCAACAGAAAAGACACAATAATGCTAGTTGAAAGAAAAAGCGTTGTTTTCTTTTAATGAAATATTTTAGTGGTAATGGAAGAGGTTGTGTTAAAATCAAGAACAGGTCTAGGAATAATTTTAGCATAAAACTATCCTGAAAGCTGATCACTTTTTACCTTTTGTTGTTTTTTTTTTTTTTTTTCACAAGTTTATATTCAATACCCTGATAAAATTCTTTTTATTCACCCTGGGAAGCAGTTGGGTTTGAAGCACTGGGGAGCCTTCATAAAGGAAAGGCTGGAAAGCATGATCTGTCTGAAGGAATTTATCTATTCACCTGTGAACCAGAATGAATACACACTGGGTAGTTTGAAACACATCTCAGAGTTTGATGGTTGGTTGTTTAAGGATAAATTGTTTGCTTGGTGTAAGATGGGAATATGTTTTTAAATATGTGTTCAGCAATTGAGTCAGGAAGATTAAAAACATTAAACTAAAATGGTTAATAAGGAAAATCACTGGGGATATAAAGTCACCTTGAACAGTTCTCAAGGAAAATAAAACTGGAGGCTGTACATTCTCCATGTGCTTGAATACTGTAGGTAAGCAACAATTAAAATGGAAAATTGTAGCAAATACCATAATAACCGGTACGTTGATGAAGTGCAACAAGAGGATATAAATGACTGCGTCTTGTATTCATCATCAGGTTTCAGTAGATAAGAGAAGGGCATGAAGGAGTCACTTTATAATTGACCAGGCATTGTTTCAGGAGAAAAAGAAGCTGGAAAAAATTTGGAAACTGGAGGAGTTTTGTGACTCAGTCTTCACTGCATGCTATCATGCAGTAATGTTTTTTTTCCCTGTTGCCTCTTTATGTATGTACTATATAATCCCAATGACAGATGTTTATTTTTGCTGAAAAACTTTCTCAGACATTGTAGGATAAATATGGTCCAGACATCTCCATCTTTATTCAGGCTTCATAGTACTTTGCTCAGCAAGCAGTTGCACTGACTTCCATGAGGTCATTTTTGGAATTTATACACTGTTGAACAGGAATGAAAATGGTGGAGGCCAGTCCTGGGACTGCAGGTTTTTTTCAAGGGTCTGGTGCACGCTTTTGCATGCATTTATTTTTGTGCAGTTTTGAAAGACTGGGGGGCTGGGAGAAAACTGACTAATAAACCTCATATTTCAAGACGACTCATCCTCTAGGATGAACTTGCAAAGCCTCAGTACACTCAGAGATAGGACAGAAACTGATAATATTCAGGTAGAAAATAGGGAATAACAGGTTCAACAAATAAAGCCCCATTCAGACAAGGCTTAGGAAGTAACAGACGAAAAGAAGCGCTTCTGCTGAAATGTTAGTTCATTACAACAACAACAAAAGACAAACCTGAAACATCTGCCCTAAGTCAAAATGTAATTAGGCTGTTGATGTAACATGCACTACATATGCACTACAGAAGCCTGGTCAAAGATATCCAGTGGGACACTGACAGGAATTTACCTACTGTGTAACACAATGAGAGCCTAGATCTTGAAAGTGCTGTAAATGAAATAAGGCATTGAGCCAAATAAAATACACAGACTAACTGTATCAACAAGCATAAGAGCTGGAAGAATATGACAATTAGTAGTATCTACACCTTCCTCTCTGTTGTGGAGTGTGAGGTCTCTTGACAGATGGTAGGCTGAAGGTTATCCTCTACTGTGTATGCTGCCTAAGAAAGGAGATTGCTGGGCTGGTGACAGTGGAGTTTCTAATCCCAGTCTCTCTTCCTTAACTGCAGAGAGAGGAAAGAGCAGGAGAAGGGAAGGTTCTTGATGGGGAACTAAAAAATGGACTGACTGGGTAGTGGAGGAGAGACTATAGATTATATGAGTATTTTGGTGTTGTTCCATACTGAGACATTTAACTGAATTTGAGTTTGCTGAGACTTAACTCATGAGACCTAAGAATGAGTTCTTCAAACAGTCAAATAAGACTGGCTCACTTCTAAAGAGTGAGACTTGCCTGTGTCTTTTACTGCTGAACTCGGGTCTACAGCAGGGTATTTTCACCTGGAAGGAACAGAAGTTTCTCTTGTAAGACAAGGTTGTCTGGCTAGGATGCATTGACCCAGATTACAAAGGAGCCCAAGGACTGCTGGTGGCTAGTGCTATGGGGCCTTGCTGGTGGCTAGTTCAGAGGAGGGTAACTCAGAAATTTGAGAATCAGCTGGGCCACAGGCATGAAAACCCATCGAGCATGTGATTTTGTGATAGTAAGTAACACAGAGATTTAATGCACTGAAATTCTGTATGTAATTACGACAGATCAAGAAGGTGACAGTCAATATGATCTGCTACAGGAGATCAAAGAGGCTGCAAGGTTAGAGAAGACAGTTTGAATTTTATCTTTGTATAGATTAACAGATAATATAATTTAAAACTCCTTTAGAGGACTGCTGCTTCATACAGCTGGTTAGAGAAACCATAAAAAGAGAAGCATCTCTGGATTTATGCATGAGGAACTGGTTCAAAACTCTCTTGAAGGGCAGTCAAATTCAATATTCTTGTAGGAATGACAAGACCTCCCTGAAAAATAATGTAATCAAACCAAGGAAACCTTTAAAAAGAAAATCAAAATGAACAGTCCAAGATCTCTAATGGCAAGCATAGAGTTTATAGACTGCATATTAGACATTCAGAGAAGATGCATTTCTCTAGTTCAAAATGATTCAAGCAACACAATTAAGCTAGGGAAAAAATCTGTTTAAACAATAACAAAGAATCTGTCTGAAAAAGCAGAAGTTGTATCCAATTGAGGATAATAGAAGAGGACGTAAATTGTGTCAGATTCTGGAAAGTCATACTTTTAATAACACGTACACATGCTTTAAGGAATAATTTGCTAAATGCTTAAACGTTGCTAAGAAGGACTTCTTGAGATAAATGGGAATTAAAAAGACTGCTAGAGATTCAAATTCAGTAGGAGTTAAATATGGTGCAATGAAGCTATAACTGGAGATCTCCAGAAAGAAAAGGACACAGCAGAAAAGCTACATTAACTCTTTGTATCAGTGAATAGAAGAGCTCAGGGAATTTCCCACCTGGGAGTCTTTGTTCATGGGGACAAATAAGAAGAACTGTCTCAAACAGAAATGTCAGGTTTACGGTAAGCTGATTAATGAAGAATAAAAATTAATCAGACATATATCATATTTATCCATGGCTTCTGCGTGTAGTTAAAAATTAGTTGATTGAAACATTAAACATAGTTTATAATAATTTATAATACTGAAATTAATATTACATAAATGGAAACTGTTTATCCAATTTGTAAAAGAAAGGCACAGGTTTACAGGTAAGTAAAATCAGAAGGTCTAGTTTTTGTACCAAGCAAATCAGTAGAACTACATTAAATTATTTACACCATTTCTGAACTGTTGCAAAAATGGGCAA